TCTCCGCGACACCCTTGTCCACTCCATACTCCCCACCAGCCCCACCACCCCTGACACTTTTACCTGCAACTGCAGCAAGTGCTACACCTGCCCCTACACCTCCCCCCCTCACCCCCATCCCAGGCCCCAAGAAGACCTTCCACATCAAGCAGATGTTCACCTGCACATCTGCTAATGTGGTATACTGCATCCGCTGTTCCCGTTGTGGCCTCCTCTACACTGGGGAGACCAAGCAGAGGCTTGGGGACCACTCTGTGGAACACAACAAACAACTACACCTCCCAACACGAACCATTTCAACTCCCCCTCCCACTCCTTGGACGACATGTCCATCCTGGGCCTTCTGCATTGCCACAATGATGCCACCTGAAGACTGCAGGAACAGCATCTCATATTTCGCTTGGGAACCCTGCAGCCCAATGATATCAATGTGAACTTCACAAGCTTCAAAATCTCCCCTCCCCCGACCGCATCGCAAAACCAGCCCAGCTCGTCCCCGCCTCCCTAACCATTCCTCCCACCTCAAGCCCCAACCCCATCTCCTACCCACAAACCTCATCCAGCCTCCTTGACCTGTTCGTCCTCCCTGGACCGACCTATCCCCTCCCTAACTCCCCACCTGCATTCACCTTTACTGGCTCCCACCCTGCCTCTTTGACCTGTCTGTCTCCTCTCCACCTATCTTCTCCTTTATCCATCTTCTATCCGCCTCCCCCTCTCTCCCTATTTATTTCAGAATCCCCTTCCCCTCCCCTATTTTTGAAGAAGGGTCTCGATCCAAAACGTCAGCTTTCCTGCTCCTCTGATGCTGCTTGGCCTGCTGTGTTCATCCAGCTCTACACCATGTTATCTCATTAAGAATCTCACTCATTTTCTCTGACTCCTCGCATAACTTCCTTCCTTTGTCCTTGAGTGGGCCAACCCTTTCTCTAGTTACCCTCTTGCTCCTTATGTATCAATAAAAGGCTTTGGGATTTTCCTTAACCCTGTTTGCTAAAGATATTTCATGACCCCTTTTAGCCCTCTTAATTCCTCATTTCAGATTGGTCCTACTTTCCCAATATTCTTCCAAAGCTTCGTCTGTTTTCAGTCGCCGAGACCTTATGTATGCTTCCTTTTTCCTCTTTGCTAGTCTCACAATTTCACCTGTCATCCATGGTTCCCTAATCTTGCCCTTTCTATCCCTCATTTTCACAGGGACATATCTGTCCTGCACTCTAATCTTTAAAAGCCTCCCACATATCAAATGTGGATTTACCCTCAAACAGCTGCTCCCAATCCACATTCCCAGCTCTTGCCGAATTTTGCTATAGTTCGCCTTCCCCCAGTTCAGCACTCTTCCTTTAGGACCACTCTCGTCTTTGTCCATCAGTATTCTAAAACTTACAGAATTGTGATCACTATTCCCAAAGTAATCCTCTAATGAAACTTCAGCCACCTATCCGGGCTCATTCCCCAACACCAGGTCCAGTATGGCTCCTTCCCGAGTTGGACTATTTACATACTGCTCTGGAAAACCCTCCTGGATGCTCCTTAAATTCTGCTCCATCTAAACCCCTAACACTAAGTGAATCCCAGTCAATGTTGGGAAAATTAAAATCTCCCATCACCACCAGCCTGTTGCTCCTACATCTTTCCATAATCTGTCTACATATTTGTGCCTCTATTTCACGCTCGCTGTTGGGAGGCCTGTAGTACAGCCCCAACATTGTTACCACACCCTTCCTATTTCTGAGCTCTGCCCATATTGCCTCACTGCTCGAGTCCTCCATAGTGCCCTCCTTCAGCACAGGTGTGATATCCTCTTTGACCAGTAATGCAACTCCTCCACCCCTTTTACCTCCCTCTCTATCCTGCCTGAAGCATCTATATCCTGGGATATTTAGTTGCCAATCTTGCCCTTACCTCAACCAAGTCTCAGTCATAGCAATAACATCATACTCCCAGGTACTAATTCAAGCCCTAAGTTCATCTGCCTTACCCACTACACTTCTCGCATTAAAACAAATGCACCTCAGACCACCTGTCCCTAATATAAAATACTACCTTTGCTACTCCAATTGCCATTCGCTACTAGGTGGTCTATAGTAAACAGCCAGCAGTGTAACGACGCCTCCTCAGCTCCTTAATTCAAACCTAACATTATATCTTTGAACTCTCTAATACTGTTATAGCTCTGTACAGAAAAATGTATTTCTTTTTAAATCAAAACTGCCATATTCCACCTTTTGTCTCCTCTTCCCTTTTCTATATACCTCCTGAATACACTGTAACCAGGAATAACAAATTCCTATTCTTGCCCTTGTTTAAGTCCCTGCTGATGCTACTATCTTTTGCACTGGGAGCTCAACAACTTTTTCTTCATGCACAGTGTATTTCTGTTCACCAAAAACTACTCACACCCCCACTCTTCCTGATCCCTCCTCTTTCAAGGCCACTCTGTACAGTAGTGCTGTTTGTCCCTCCTCACTCTCCATGCACCTTCCCACTCCTTGGATACTTCGTCTTGGCTCCCTAAAACTTCAGTTTAATATCCTTCTCCAGGGCACAAACTGCAGCAATAGCACATTTTTATCATTAACACAAATTCATTATTCATAAATTTAGAGAACTCTTTTCTGAAGGCATGATTTTTCAATTTCAGTCACTTAACACATGATACACGTAATAAATTTGACTATATTATATTGATATTCACACCAATGCACATTTATGTACATTACTTAAAAATTACTGGTTCTGTAATTTAAACAAAATATTTGTACAGATATTTTTATTGCCTCAGTCAGGCAGTCCCCATTTATAAATAACTCATCGCTCCTGCATGATTCAATCACAGAACACAAATCCTATTTAAAAGACCACAGGCCTATTTTCCTTTCGTACTACTCTACAAAGAATAAAGTTATTTTGCACCCCCGATCTTCATTTTAAAAACTTGATAGGAAGATAAGTTATATCAACCAATATACATCATTAACGATATGCCATAAAACAGAAACACATGAATGAGTTTAATTTTTTTTGCTGCACAAAATCATCAAATGGAGCAAAATAAATCATCTACTGAACTGAAATTGAAAAAGCTACCCAAGAGCATCAAAAGTCAGAAAGCCAACATTGCGCCTTGTTTGTTTTACTTATTCCAATTGTGTATCCTAGGCATAGGGAAGCACTAACTCAATACAAAATATATTTCCACTGATCAAGTGAAGTCCTCGGAAACCAAGATATCTTTTGTAGATTTCCAGTTGAAAGTATGTGCTGCATTATCTACAAATGCTCGCAATGAAACATTTAGCTTCTTCCCTCTCTAGTCTACAATGTACAGAATCAGTTTTCATTATGTTAAGCAAACAAACGTTGTAACATTATATTGCAGTTGCACACTTATTGAACATCTAAGGGCCAGATCTGGAGTGATCAAATTGGGAAAGCTTACAAAATTAAGAGACAGCTGCTCCACCAAAATGAAAAGCTAATGAGAAAACAAGTAAATATTAACTCAACTTTGGAACTCACCATGTATGAACTAAATAAAAACCAAAAGAACTGTGGATGATGTAAATTAGAAACAAAAACAGAAGTTGCCGGAAAAGCTCAGCAGGTCTGGCAGCATGTGTGAAGAGAAATCAGAGTTAACGTTTTGGGTCCATTGACTCTTCCTCAGAACCCCTCTGAGACCTGCTGAGCTTTTCTGGCAACTTCCGTTTTTGTTTCTAATTTACATCATCCACAGTTCTTTTGGTTTTTATTTAGTTCATATATGGTGAGTTCCAAAGTTGAGTTAATATTTACTTGTTTTCTCATTAGCTTTTCATTTTGGTGGAGCAGCTGAGTTTGTAAATAGTCTGGCAGTGGTTACCAGAAAGGGATGGAATCAACAGCCTGAGTAAATGGTTTCTGTTGGAGAAATTCTGAAAGAAGGTCATATCAGACTCAAAGTGTTAACTCTGTTTCTCACTTCACAGATGTTGCCAGACGTGCTAACTTTCTCCCGTACTTGGTGTTTTTATTTCATATTTCCAGTACCCCCAGAATTTTAATTTTATTAGCCTGTGTTGGGGTTGAATACAATTATTTTGGCTTTCCTAATATTTAAAAGTAACAATTGTGGTTCAAATAAGACTGGATATCAGACAACCAGAACAGGTGCTGGGGTCTACGGGGGAAATCAGGGCAGGTCAGCTGGTGATATCAGCATATACGTGAAGCCCAGCACGGGTGCAAGTGATGCTGCCAAAGGCCAACAAGCAGAAAATACAGAACTGTACAGCACAAAAAGGGGTAATTTAGTCCACCAAGTCTGCAACTGTTCTTTTGAAAAGCAATTGACTTTATCCCACTCTCCTGCTCTTTTTCCACATGCCTACAAACTTTTCCTTCTTCATGTATTTATCCAATTGCTTTTCTTCCATCTACAAGGCATAAGTGACGACTGTGATGGAATACATTCCAGTTGTCCGATTGAATGCATTTCCATATGTAAATGATCCATATGTAAATGAAGCTCAGCAACATCAAGGACAAAACAGTCTGCTTGATTGACATTCCATTTGCTACCTTCAACATTCAAACCCTTCACCAATGATGCATGCAGCAGCACTGTGTATCATTAACAAGATGCACCACAATAACTTAGCAACTCTCCGGCCACGTTTAAAGAAAATGCTAACTGAGCATGTTATGAAACCAACTGACCAGGATAATACACCAACACCAACTTAATACAGTTGGCGTTGGCAGACAGACAGGAGCAAGCAGGATTTTTTGACGGTTTTGGGTGGTGTTGGGTTGCACCCCATAGAAACTACAAGATCAACACAACAGTTTGTAAGTCATATAGATGCATAACTTCTTTTAGGTTTCATAAACTAACATTACAAACTGGAAAAATTGATGTGGAAATCTCAGTTATGGCAATGTCTTTGAAGGTGAATGCTGAACATGTAACTATGTGCAAAAAAAAAAGCAATTTCAAAGAAAGTACCAAGCCTTACCTCTGGTGCAAACATAGTTTCATATGATGGATTGAACATAACTTCCTTCAGCAATGGATCAAGATGAACCCCTGTTTCCACATCTTCCTAAAAGAAGGAAAACACAGGATTCAGAATGGCTCTCCATGATTGCTGGGAAAACATGCAATCACTTTGATCACATCAAGATTCAATTTCAGGCCCACAGAGATAAAGGACACATGGCACAGATTTGAATGGAGTGGAAAAAACCTGGATAGACTGAGAAATTAGAATACTGCAATATCTGAAGCTTGGATTAAATTTCAGCAATGATATACACTTTGAAAACACACACCACTACACTGAATACTTCCTAAACATCTGCAGCAATGACAAGCAATTGCACTATATTAGTGGAAGAAAACAAAGTAAATTCACAGTGTAACGTACTCTTTGATTTATACAATTTATATATGATTTAATATCATTTGCGTCAAGTTGGATTTTGAAATACTGACATAAGGGTTTTTCTGTGGTGTGAAAGAATAAGTAATTTCTGTTAATTAACTTGTATCTCTGCAGCCATGACAATTTTGTTTTCAAAACAGTTGAGAGTTTTTAGAATGAATTAGTTCTTATGTAGCTCAGGAGGGTTCACTTAGCAAGGTAAATAATTGTTCCTCAAAGTTCCTATTAGAAAATCATGGACTTTTTTTAAGCTTGAAGGAACACTTAAAGCGTAGAGAGAGATTTTTTTCAGTTTTACTGTCAGTTTTGGGCAGTTCTGCATGTGCAAAGTTTTCATGTGCAAAGTTGTTCGAGAAAGGGAAAAGATAGTTAGATTTGTTAAAACTATGATGTGGAGGTGCCGGTGTTGGACTGGGATGGACAAAGTCAGAAGTCACACGACACCAGGTTATTGTCCTGATGAAGGGGCTGCGTTCTGAAAGCTTGTGATTTCAAACAAAGCTGTTGGACTATAACTTAGTATCATGTGACTTCTGACTTTGACAGAACTAGACCACCTTGGAGCGATGAGTTAGTCATAGTTTCAGAACGGAAGTGTTTGGATAAAACCCTGAAGAGGTTATTTGAAATTGAGATAATTAAGCTCAGGCATATGATAGCTCTGGGAAGAAAGTACTGTATTTCCCCGTCTAGGAGCTGAAGTCAAATTAGACCCATCCAGGCGCAAGAGACTTTCTGGTATGAGAGCTGTATAAGGGGTGCTGTACAGAAGTATTTTAGGATCTGTACAGGAGTCTTTTTAAAGGTTTAATGGAATTATATTTCACTGTATGTTTTAACATCTTTAAAGTTTGTGTTACAAGTAAATTGTCTGGTTTACTCCATTTTATTTCCATACATTTCACTTCAAATTTCTGCTTTATGGTTAAACACAATTTTTAGAAAGATTTATTCATCAAAAGTGGGCATGGTTGGCTGGGCCAGGATTTATTGGCTATTTCCAGCTGCACTTGTTAAGGTAGCGGTGAGCTGTCCTCTTGAACTGCTGCAGTCCATTTGCTGTAGGAGACCTACAATGCCATTATGGAGGAGTTCCAAAATTTTGACCACGCAACACTGGAAGAACAACAATATATTCCCAAGTCAAGACGATGAATGGCTTGGAGGGGAACTTGCAGGTAGTAGTGGCTGTACGTAACTATTGCCCATGTCGATCTAGATGGTAGTTGGCTTGAGTTTGAAAGGCGCTGTCTAAGGAGCCTAAGAGTGAATTCCTGTAGTGCAGCTTGTAGACAGTGTACACTGCTGCTGCTGCAAATCTGTAACACTGTATGCACACAGGGGTGCATGTTCATAGTTCTTTGAAAGTGGAGTCACAGGTAGACAGGGTAGTGAAGAAGGTGGTTGGTATGCTTGCCTTTATTGATCAGTTGGGATGTCATGTTGTGGCTGTACAGGACGTTGCTTAGGCCACATTTGGAATACTGCCTTCAAATCTGGTCTTCCTGCTAAACGAAAGATGTTGTGAAAATTGAAGAGGTTCAGAAAAGATTTACAAGGATGTTCCCAGGGTTGGACGTTTTGAGCTATGGGCAGAGGCTGAATAGACTGGGTTTATTGTCCCTGAAGCATTAGAGGCTGAGAGGTGACCTTATAGAGGTTTGTAAAATCATGAGGGGCATGGATAGGGTGAATAGCCAAGGTCTTTTCCCAGGTTAGGGACGTACAAAGCTCACGGGCATAGGTTTAAGATGAGAGACGAAAGATTTAAAAGGGACCTAAGGGGCAACTTTTTCATGCAGAGGGTGGTGCACATATGGAATGGACTGCCAGAGGAAGTGTTGGAGGCTCGTTCAGAAATCCATTTCTGAAGAAGGGTCTAGGCCCGAACCGTCAGCTTTTCTGCTCCTATCATGCTGCTTCGCCTGCTGTGTTCATCCAGCTCTGCACCTTGTTGTACTGGCAAATGGGACTAGGTTAATTTAGGATGTCTGGTCATCATAGACAAATTGGACCAAAGGGCCTGTTTCCGTGCTGAATATTGCTATGACTCTAATTCAAACACCAAAACACATTAAGTAAGCTAAACCTGTTTCCAAAAACCATGCAGCAGTTCCTACTGAATCATCAGAACGAACGTGTGTGTTGTGGACGACGTTGCAAAGAGCCCTAAGCAAATCACCTGTGTCTTAAAAAGTACCTAATAACAACCAAAAGAACTGCGGATGCTGTAAATCAGCAACAAAAACAGAAGTTGCTGGAAAAGTTCAGTAGGTCTGGCAGCATCTGCGAAGAAAAAAATCAGAGTTAACATTTCTGGTCCGTTCACCCTTCCTCAGAACTATTCTGTTAACTCTGATTTTTCCTCACAGATGTTGCCAGACCTGCTGAGCTTTTCCAGCAACTTCTGTTTTTGTTCTTAGAAGTACCTATCTTTCAAGGGTTAATCAAAATCTAATAATAATAACAAATGGGACTTATCAATTTACTGAAGTATACTAAACTGTACACATAAAGAAATTACTTTTAAAGGTTTCTCTCCTCATAAATGAAACAAGTTAGCAACAAATCTGTAGTCTAGTTAAAATGCTCTGTAAACAGATGTCACTTTCCAATAGCTCTTCAACGGTAACATCACCAACATGATTAAGGAATTTTTGAGTGGTATCCTTCTGTAGGAGACGCATCAATGCTTTCCTTTCCTCTGGTTCGGGTTGGAGACAGACAGACCCCGTTTTTTGTGAGATTGGCTACAGACTAAACCCATGTGCCCCAACGGGCCCGACTCAGGCCTCCCTACACTCACCTTTACAGCAACCTCAGGCGCGGAGTTCAAAGCGAGGGGTCCGTGAAGGCGTGACATGGATTTCTCAGGCTCCAGAGGGTGCAGATGAGCCACGGCGTCTCGGCTGGGGACCTCTCCACACTCGCCATCCGAGTCGCTGCCACTGCCGCTGCCGTAAGAAGCCAGAGCCGCGATCGCCGCCGACATTTTTGCGGGCGCCTCACTCGGAAGATGACGCGCGCTTGCAGATCTACAACTTAACCAGTCCTCCCCAAGTAAATGTCACAGCATTCACTGACAGGGGTTTCCTTGGCACCGTCTTCACTATTTTAAATGTTGAGAAATTTCTATCGGTCTCAGTCTCACAATATCATCCTCCCGGCCTTCAGTGAAACTCCAGGGATTATTATTTACCGCACGGCGGTAAGGCCCAAATTCCCACCTCTGACAATCTGATTGGCTAGCCTGGGAAGGAGTGGGTGTGCCCATCTCGACAATGACCCTTTTTCCATTGGTTGTGTGCCTTGTCGATCAGAAAACATCACAAAGCTCCCTTCGACCCTTCCTCCACCGTTCCACAACACATTCCAATTCGACGATCTCCCCTCACCCCCCCCCAAACGGCCAGTGCCATTGGGACAATCCACAAGAGGATCGCCCAGTGCGTTCAGCCGGACAGCGGTGGACGAAATCCGTTCCGACAGGCACAGCTGCGTCCGGCGCTTTCTAAGCTCGGCCGTTCCCTGCGATTTGGAAGCCGAACCGCCTCTATTTTCGGATTGAAGAAGCGAACGGGTCGTGCTGCCGCGGGTGCGATGTTCCCCGTGCGTGCCGCCGACGTGCGCCATTCCGGCTGAAGCGGCGGTGGTGTTGTTATCGAGACCGGCGAAAACTTGGGGCGTCAGTGAAAGCGGACCGGTTAGAGCAAAGCTCGCGGACAATGAAGACGTTATTCTCCAACTGAAAGACGTTCCAATTCATTGTTTTTTAAAAAAAATAATCTATAGATCTAGGTATCTCGGAAGATTATATTTAAAAAAAACAATACTCGAGGCCGGTAAGAGTTTACGGGGTACGTAATTCTAATCTCAGTGAATGAAATGTCGAGCTGTTGCAATTTTATTTATTGTTGCAGTGTTTTTTTTTGCTGTGCAAAACAATTGCCTCAGCAAAGGTGTGTGTTTGGAAGGGGGCTTGCATTTAGCCATGGTAATTTTTTTGTTTTGCAGTCTACAATCTTACCTTTCATTTTTCTTCTCCCTGTCTTTCTCCCTCGCTAATGTCTTTCTGTGGTTGCCGAGGCCCCGGCAGGTAGTGATGGTTGGATTGATGAATGAGGCTTGCTCGGGTGCACCTGGGCTTCAGTCCTGAATCTCTCATTCTCTCCTGCACCACAGTCGGAGCTGCACTGGCCGCAAAAAATCCCGAGTTATCGAGAGTCCGACCTTTCTGCAACTCCGCTTTAACTCACTTCTCTCTCTCTCTCTCCTATTCCATTCCGCCCCCCCACCCCCAACAACAAACACTCAGTTGAGATTGTGAATTTGGATGCACTCTCCATCCCTCCCAATCCCACTTCACAAGAACATGCACTATAAAGCTGTCGATTGTTTGCAGGAATTTTATTTTAATATTGAGGTTTTCGTGAAGCTGAATGGATTTCCATGCCCTCGATTTCCACAACAAAGAATTTGGGGGGGAAAGCGGGTGGAACGGTGGAAGAGAAGATCGGCAAATATTCTGTGACCCTAAGATACTAGATCTCAGCGCGGCAGGGTATTTTATTTTGTGCGACTCGTAAACAGAGGCTTACCGTTGAAGTTTTGTCCACTCACGGACAGGAAGTTCATGTTTGTAGGTGCGGTGCCGTCGCATCACGACAGTAACGGTCGCTAATTTTGCAGCGTAGGGAACACATTTGACTAGGCTGTATGAGAAACGTGCTGATTATTTGGCAATTTTATTGCGAATGACCCATGAGCAACTTTTCAGGACTGTCTCCTTTCCTGGCCCCTTGACCTAATGCACAAAACTATTTGCCTTTTACGTTTTGAAAGGCTGAGTTTTTTTTTTGCTTTAAACTCTGCCGCCCGCAGTACTCGATTCCCACGCCAGAGGTTGATCGCAGACCTGAGCTCCTGTATTTCACCTCTTCTGAAGACCTTCCCGCACGCACCCACCCCCTAACCGCAGTGTTTCAATATTTTGAACGGAGAGAGATCCACGATAAACGGGTTGAGCGACAGCTATCTCAATTTGCACAAAACTTTAAAAGCACAACTTAGTACTTTGGATCCTTTCCTTTCCTTTCATTAGCACTGCTTAAATGCGGACCGAATAATTGCTCTTCAAAGCCGAAGTGGATTTGCAAATGACTTTCAGATAACTTGCTGGTAAAATAATTGCAATATCCTCGAAAAAAATGTTCTAGTATAAATCGCTATATATTTCTGAGATGGGTAACTTTTTTCCCAAGCTTATAGTTTCAAAAGAAGGAGCAGTGTCCGATTGAGCTCAACCCTGTTTCTTAACTTTAACAACAAGTCAATCGGGATGATTTCTGCTGCTGTCCTTTTTTATTGTATTGTTTTGTAAACTTCAAATCTTCCTGAAGTTAAAATATAGCGCTTTTCTGCTTATAGAAAATTTTCAGGAGCCACTTACAATGATCATACCTTTTAACGAAGGAAAGTGTAGCCAAGTGCTTAGACGTGATCAGACAGAAGTAAAAATTCAATAGTAATAGGACAAGGAACTAACAAGTAGCTTTAAGGAGCATCTTGGAGCAGGATAGAAGCAAGATAGAACGAGTGTTTTAAATATGGAATTCCAGAGCAAAGACCTGAGACTTTTGTCAATGCAGCTACCAGCAATAGGGCAAAAAAAAGGAAAGTGCTCATGAGACTAGAATTGGAAGAGCAGAGAGTTCTTGGAGAACTGTAAGGCTGAAGAACCAAGAAGGTACTTGATGCAAATTTGAAATTAGAGGCATTGATGAGCTGTGGAGCTTCCAGTGAATGCATGAATGATGCTTGATGCAAGTTGGGAGTGGACAGTGGTTTCATATGAGCTTAAGGATGGTAAATGAAAAGCCAACCAGGACATCACATCTTGTGTAGCAAACTTGGACAGTGTTACCTAAAATTGCACCATTCAAGAGCCCATTTTACAGCAATTTACTCTTTGATCTCATTGCATGAGCAGTTGGGACCTGAAGAAAATGTGGACCTCTCACCATATGTTCCTTTTCAATGTAAAATGTATAGGTTTCAAATAAGATAACTAATTACACACAAAAGAACATGGGCTTGTGAGAGTTTTCAACTCTTTTTGTATGACTGATGCTGAATCCGTAAAAATGGAAGGGCAGAGATAATACAATTTAGATTTCGGTGAGGAGCAGTCTAAAATGAAAAATTAAAATACCAGAGAAATAACCTTTCTGCAGCATCTAAATTCTGTGCCTAATTTTAGATCCATTTTAACTCACCATTCTTTCAAGAAATTTACGTATAAAACTTGCATGGTCACAACGATTTTATTCTGATTAGAAATGTGTTCAGGTGAAAAGCACAATCAGCCGGTCTGAAAGGCTAACGTAACTATGTATCTTACACTTTTGTTTGGTCTCTTAAAGCAAGTTTTGTTTTGTACCTTGAATAGTTGTATCTTGGGTGCAAATGCAAGGAAATTTCATTATCTTTTATTTTAATTAATTATTCTTGTCCTTATTTCAAGATAGATGCATTTTGTTATTGTGCACTAGTTATTTGAAGATTGAAACTGCTGTGTTAAATTGTTTTGTCTTCATTTCATCGCAGATGTATATTAGTTATTGCACTTAGCTACTTGATAATTATGGCTGCTCAGTATTTTTATAAATTTTATATTATGTTCTAAATTTATGGCAAATAAATTATTTTTGTGCTTGAGTAGGCTGAGAATATAAATGTATAAAAGAAATATTGGCTTTAATGAAATGGAAGTTTTCAAACTACTGAATATGAATGACCTCTTTAGAAATGTAACTTTTTTAAAGAAACATCATTGAGAAATATGTGTGTTTGGGAGCATTGTATCGGTCATGTATCCTGAAAATGTGTATGATGAAAGAATCTCTTACGAAAACCAGATTTTGCTGTACTCGTCTGCATTTTTCATTACACCAAAAAATACTGCCAAGTAATCTTCCTTGCAAAGAAAGTTTCTTCAATATTATGCATATAATTATCTTAATATTTAACATGGAAAGATACAATTTAGGAGAATGTTTTGGGAAATTGGATAAGGAGCCAATTTACTTTTTATGATTTTCTGAGGTTGGCTGTTTGTTGACTAATTTTATATAATTAGTTAGCTTTTTACGGATTTGTGCAGATCATTATGAAAGGGCAATGCTTATCCATTAAAAGTTCATTTGCAACACAAATGCAGTATTGTGAATAAATTATTTCATCTGGCATCTTAAGTGTATGGAGATTTACTTGAAGTGCCAAATGTGAAATTATGCCATTTTTGTTATTTTTAATGTGTTGGTATCTCATAGTTGATATGTTGTCAATTAATAATTCACTTTAAAAACTATGAACAGTAATATTAAGCTTCAGGAGGATTGCAGAAGAGCTATACTGTGCTTTAAGTGAAGTAATGAGCAATAACAACTTTGTTTGTCGTAAAAGTTAGATCATTGACATGATAAATTACCCAACTTCCAAACCAATTCTTAATATCATGACTTCTAATTAAAATTAGATTCTTTCTTTCACTAGCTTTTTTCTCAACAAAGTTGCAGTTCTAAGTAGGTTTTGCTATCTATGCGTTCTTGGATTTGGTGGCATAAGTTACTCTTATAAGAAAATCCTACATTTTCACTTTCCAAAGTTGAACTGTGCTAACAAATATTGATTTCAGAGGGCAGTTTAGGCTGCTATGTTGCTGTTGGTCTGGAATCACATGTAGACCTGACCAGGTAAGGAAGAGAGATTTACTTCCCTTAAGGACATTTAGACAATCGACAATGGTTATAGAATTTCTCAATTCCAGAGTTTTTTTAAATTGAATTTAAATTTGACTATTTGAAAACTTGCTTAGGATCTGAATTAACTAGTTAAGTGACATCACAATTATGCCACCATTAGTGATATTTGTCAAAAAAAAAATTGCTTCATGTTATGTCATAATTCCCAGCTCAAATCAAGATCATTCTTCAAACTGCATCCATTTGGCTGGTTTGATTCTGATCATGTGTTCTGCTGTCCTTTTCAGTTAGGGTTGGTACACTAGCTCTTTCAACAATTATGCCAATTGAGCTCAACTTAATAGAGTTATCTTGAACAGAATATGGAAAATGAACAATCAGTGAAATGTCCAAGGTAACCTACATTGTGCGGAGTGCACTGATTCAAACATCCTTTATGAACTCAAGCGTGGAACTCTTCCCCACAATCCTGCTGTTCTGTGAATTTGACCTACTGAGGACTGTTTAATCTAGCATAGGTATTTTTAATTTCTGTTATTCCATGGAACATCAGTGGCACTGGTTCAACTATGTTGTTTTTGTTCAGCATCAGTAAAGGTCCTTTGATTTAGAAGTTTTATAGTTTGACCTTTGAGTTTAGTACTATTATCATACCACACACAACTATCTCATACTTGTCTAGATATGTGTACTCAATGATTTAGGAGTTCAACAGTGTAACAATCAATTCTATACGTGTTGTCACAGAATTTTATTCTTTTTCTGTATGTGATGCCTTCGGTTGATATTACAATGTACCTGTTGTGTTTCTGTCCTGAACAAAATGCTTAACATCAAAGTTTTTTTTTTGAGGTTTTGTGAGCTTTGGTTTTCTTTCATAGTGAATGGGCATGGAATTCTACTTTTTTTTGCATTTAAATCTTCTAAATAGTCTCAAAGGGTTGTGAGCCTTTGTAATTTCTTTCCTCAAAAGGAGAATCTTTAAATATTCTGAAGACAGAGGTTGATAGATTCTTGGTTACCAAGGGAATGAAAGATGATTGTGTATATGCAGGAATGTAGACTTGAGGTTAAAATCAAATCAGCCATGATAT